ACCAGACGATCGCAAAGCAATGGGTTCGATAATGATCCGATCGCTCGACTGCCGGAGGCTCATCCACTTCGGATCTTCCCCCAAAGTGGTGCCGTAGACCGGGAAGGCATTTAGCAGGCATTAATCCAACTGTTCCTCCTTGACTTGTTGCCAGAAGGGGCCTCTTCGACCCCATCCATTCACTGCCGTCTTCACGAGACAACCGGTTCCGCATGTTTTCCTTTCGGTCGAGCAAGTGCTCGTCTCATCATTTTTGTCGCATCGAGTGTCGTGGAAAAGCCAGGAAGTCGGGTTTCGAATCCGGCATTCGATGAAGAGGGCGACTCTCATCTTGCCTTTGGGAATGGCTCGGAGAGAGACAGGATGCAATCAATGATTCACCATGAGAGTTCGCTACCTGATGGATATGAATGCGAATCGCAGCTCCCGTATTCCAGGAAATTCGCAATACCTCAGAGGATACGTCTAGCATCACATCTCATGAATTCTGCAGTGCTCTTCCCTCGTCGATCACGACCTCTCGGGAAGGGAGGGCTGGTCGTCCACGAACTCGAAGCGTCCGTCTTCCGGTCTCTCATCGGAATGGGGGATGGCTGTTGCGTTGCGACATCTCTCTCGTCCGGCTGAAAGCCTTCAGTGCCCGATTTCATGGACAGATGGCAGATATCCGAAGGATGGATGGCCGCATGTTCTAGCCAAAGGCGGAGTAAGATAGAAGCGAATCAGTGCCCATCGGCTGCTAGGCGCAAGAAGGGAACTTCTGATCGGTAATTAGGGATAGTACAGTATTTAGCCATGACGTCGAAAGGTAATTGCGATTCGTTGAAAGGGAAGGATCAGCTTCAGGTTGGAGTCTCCCTGGGGTCTCGATATTCGGATGTGTGCAAATACGAAGAAACCACAGGCAATGATGAAAGGTTCGAGATGAACTTTCATACGTGACGTCTCTACGCGATGAACTGAGTAAAGATGCTTTCAGTACACTTTTAAAAGTTTTCAGGCAATTCCTTTCTGCGTGACTTATGCGAGGAGAAGCCTGCAGTTTCTCAGGCCGTTTAGCGAAAAACTCATCAGAAATTCTCAGTTTGACAAGCGATTCAAGCTATTTCACCGCTGTAAACACCGTGTATTATTGCAGTCATCGAACGAAGAATATAGTACAAAATAGGAAAAGCAACTCCCCGGAAAGTTATATGAAATATCATCGGTACACGACCGGATCGTTGGAAAGTGCTTGTTTAGAGAAAGCTAAATCTGAATAGCGTCATCGACTGTGCCTTTTCGAGAGAAGCATGACAAAAGGTATCGGTAGCCTGGTTCTCGTCATCGCCCCTTCTCGCCCCGTGGCTGTTCCTCGTTCATCGATTGCTCGTACTCGGCCAGGCAGTCCTCCTCCATCTGCATCAGCTCCTCCAAGTACTAGGAACGAAAAGGTTCGGGTCAGACTTCCGGTGGCGCTGGATCCAGTCGTCGCCGTGCACGAGAGAAACGAGAGACGTGATAGGGGAAGTCGGGGAAGACGGTGGAGTCTCTTAAGGCTGCCGAGAGGAGACGGAAGGCGTCCCTCGCCTCCGCCAGGCGGGACCTCAATTGCTTCACGCAGACGGACGGACTCTCCTCGTGTCTACGTCCGGCTCGCTTTAGCTTTACCAGCTGGATTTCCAGCCATTTCACTCGGTCTAGCTTGGCTGAGAAGAGAAAAACCTCATGAAGGAAAATAAATCTCATCCGACAAGTCGACGCCTAGACGAGGAACCTCGTAGTCGTTGTCGTTCGCAAGCCTCCTCTCGCATCTTCTGGAGGGTGCCCTCTCGGACACCCGCTCGAGCGCCCCGAAGGCGATCCAAGGCGTCCAGGAGATGCACGAGGCACCCGTCCCGATGGATGAGTGGATTCCCCCCTCGAGAGGATTCCCGGAACCAGTGTCGCCTGACGATGACGCCCAGGGCGAATCCCAGCCCCAGCCCCAGCCATTGCGGGTCTGGCATTCCAAAAAGCTTCCTCGTTAGCTCCGTCATTTCTCATCTCTTCGTTGCCGGGAAACGAATCGATGGGGGTTCGTCTGCGATCGGAATGATATTTATTGCGACAGACAACAAAAAAATCATTTGGGGGAAGAATAGCATTTGATCGAAGATATATCAAGATATACGAAGGAGGGTCCCGAAGAAGCAATCGGTCAGGGCTAATAGGTTCCTGCATGGATCAGGATCGGGAACAATTAGCCGGAATGGAATGGAATGCTTCCCATCCTTGCGGGTATTGTTAGGGCGAAGGCCCACGCCAGGCCGCAGTATAGGTGGTCTGATCGATCTGTGTTGCACGTGCCCGAATTAGTAATTAATCCGGGACGGAGAAAGAACGTTCGTCACGAACCGACGGATCTTCGTGATGAGCCCCTCGGATGCAAAGGTCTTTGGGTGTAGACACGTGATGAGTCGGTTATGCGGATTATTTCCTATCCTGGCTGAAGTGGCTCGCGAGACCGCGAAGGCCTCTCTCGGCAAAACCGCAACTTCGAATGCTACCTAACGTTTAACATTCACAGATACGACGTCGAAAAAGCACTCTCGTTTGCGTAAAAGAAAGAACATGCATGTATATATATCAATAATAGAATGATATTTCGTTTCGCTTCGTCGAAAAAGTGCGTGCGTGTACCTTGGATCTGAAGGCTTTCAGACCCCGTCTTGAAGAATATAAGACGAGAAGCGATGACAGGTTCTTCAATGGCTTTTAGACCGCGTCTCGAAGAAGAGGAGAGATGACAGCTTCTTCCTTCTCGGTCGGTCCGACCCGAATCCCCATTCACTTCGTGCATCGTCACGATGCACATCGACAGCCTGCGATCCAGGTGTGGAGGCCTGTCGCAAGGCCGAGCGGGAAAGAAGTCGTCCTTGGAGGGGCCGTACGCATGGTTGGACTCGACCCCCCCTTCCCCCTCCCCCCCTTTCCCGCCCTTCCCGGCCCTTGCCCTCCTAAGGCTGTTTCCGCGAGAACAGAAAGAATCGAGCAGGCGGGCGGTGGGGATCAATGGGACCACCCGCCGCCGCCCTCCGGCAGCCTTCCTCCTTCCGTTCGTGTTAGCGTTGCCTCCGCCGTCCTCAGTGCCTGCATGAGTCTCTTCGTCTCCTGGCAGCCATTTCGAGCCTCACGTATTTCCAGGGGCGTTGGGGCCTGAACCCCCTCGGAGGGGGAAGGGCTGGCTTCCGTCGGTCTCACTTCAACGATACCTCCGCCAAGTCCCCCGTCAAGGCTCCCGTCTCGGATCTCAGCGAGGATAGGTGAGTTCGCGGGAAAGAGGAGAGGAGAGGAGAAAAATCTCTGCCGTTTCGGGGAATGATGCTTTCGTTAATGGGAGGGTCTGGAGAGCTGATGGGATAGTGGACGAGAGGGTTTGCGTCATGAACGTCCTGTCCGATTACGGGAATCACCCTCCACGATACCCATTTCCCATCCACTGCCATCTGCAGTTTCCAATCTCGCATTTGCATACGTACTCGCCGACGGGATTCTCGATCCTTCCGCGGATCGGTCGCAGGATCGGTCCCGGGATCAGTCCTCGGCAAGGTCGAGGAGACGTTTAAGGATGCTCACCTTCTTGGAAGCTCTGAGAAAATAAATCCCCCGAGGAGACCGTGAGAGAATGAGGAAGATGTCAATATTTGTTCAATTCCCCATGAGTGAAGGATGAGAGCCTCCGCTATCGGGTGAAAGGCTTTTCTTCCATCCTTCTCCGGCCAGAGTTTTGTCTCCTTTGTTCTCCGAATCTCCGTCATTCTTTGTGCAGCACCGGCCGGCATACAGTCTTTTTACCGCCTTATCTCGTTCTCTCGTCTCTCTCTCTCCCTCTTTCTCTCTCTCTCTCTCTCTTTTGATCTTTTCGCTTACTCCTACAAAAGTGCGGCGGTCTTCGCGTGTCTGTTGAACCTCGACTTCCGTCCCGGAAAGGAACCCGGTGGGACTCCTCGAGCCGATGACGTGACGAGAGAGGACATCGGCGTGTTTCTTTCCTCGGTGCCACTCGCCAAGGACCCACCCGGTCCTTGGCAGCAGCCGGGTCCCTGCTAAATTTTCCCCGGACAGGACATGGCGATATGGCACCCTATCTCCGTCCCCGTTAATTGATGGGACCGGTGTCTCGAAGAGATATCAGTGTGCCGTGGCCAAAGGAAAGATCTTGGCCGCACTTCTTCTCCTCCCACTTTTGATCTCTCTCCAAAGGAAACCTTTTTCGCACCGGTATCGATTGGCATCGATCCGAGTGCGATATTTCGAGGAAAAAATCGTCTCCCGCCGACGCGAAGCCCTCGCGAAGCGTCGCACGATGCAAAACGAAACCCATCCCATTCTACGGATGCAAAACCTTTCCTCTCGGATTCGATCGACCCCCGACGATAATTTGATGGAATCCCCGGAGGACGACCGGTTCCACGAGACATGCTCGAGCCCGCCCCACTCAGTGTGCGACAGCGAGAGCTGACGCATGGGAGTGCTTCTATCTAGTTTCTCGTCTCAAGTGAGACCGTATTTCGGACCGCCGCCTGGGATCGGGCGTGGATTCCGAAGGCGTGCCACGTGGTGAGTACCGCACTCTGCGCATCGTTCGTCACCGTTCGATCCTTCCGTTCCCACACGGCAACGAATGAGCTTCGAAGATCCGCGACGAGGCACGAAGGCAATCGCTATCATAGAACGCGAAAATAAGAACCAGACCCAGAGAATCAATGCTCCTAATGAAGAATGCACGAACATCGAGCAAGGGGGGGAGGGGGGGAAGCCCTGGAGGGAGGACCATACGTCCGCGATCGCGATCGCTCACGGCTGCATCTGTTTTTCTCCTCAGGTCATTGCCGAAGATCACCTCGGAGCCGGAGGATGGGTTGCACCCGGGTCACAGCGCCCCAGGGGGAGGAGGTGGAGGGGGAGGAGGCGCAGGAGGAGGGGGCGGCAAGTTTGAGCCCATTCCACACGACCACGACTTCTGCGAGAGGGTCGTCGTCAACGTACGTCACGGTTCGCCGCCGCCTCGAGAGGGTCATCGTCGAGAGAGTCGAATTTGCATATTTCATCTTCTCGGAGAAGCAATAATATCCCGTCGAGGATGCTTCATCCATCGAGTCTGTAATGAGGCGGAGAAACTTCGAAGAGAATAAACTTGCAATTCATGGAAGCGAATCGACCTTCGTCGAAGCCCCGCCCGCGAACAGGATTAAAAATGAAAAAAAGCGGAATCGTAATATCCGTGATCGCCGCGATATCGGCTGCCAGACGGACCGTAAAAAAGAGAGGAAGAAAGGAAAGGAATGCTAACGATCGCTTTGCATGATCCTTCTGGCCCCCAAGGTCAAAGGTCGTTTCACCCCTCTAATGCTCGCTTCCCGTGGCAACCCCCCATTCCCCCCCTGGCAACCCCCCCTCTCCCCCCTTCGGAAAGGAAGAGAAGCTGATGCCCTCCGTGCCCTCTTCCTGTCTTTGCAGGTCAGTGGCCTTAGATTTGAAACTCAACTTCGCACGCTCAACCAGTTCCCGGACACGTTGCTGGGCGATCCCGCCAGAAGAATAAGGTGACCTCGGANGTCTATGTGCAGACCGACTATCGGTTTCTCTCTTTTTTTTTTATCAGCTTTCCTTTCAGCCTTTCAATCGAACGAAGTGGTGGAAACGGATGGGATCTCTGGAATTGACGCGCTGTTTCCCGAACGACCAGCAAAAGGGCGCTTGCAATCACATTTGACTCGGGGCAGGTCGAGTCCGAACGGAAACGGAGGCATTTCGCCGCGAGGCTTCGGGAGAGCCGAGAAGGACCGACGTCTGTCCCCTGCTGTAGCTCGCCTCCTCCTGAGGAGGGGGGAGGGTGGAGGGTGGAGGGAGGGGGAGGAGGGGAGGAGGTGCACCCCTGGTGCGATGCCGTCTGCGATGTGCGGCACTTCCCCCGTCTCTTTCCCTGCGGGGGTCCGTGCGGGTGCCTGAGAATCGCCTCGTAAAAGTGTATCATTCAGAGAATACTCGGCGAAAGGGAAGGAAATTTAATACTCCTTTCGTGTCGATTCCCTTCCGATTCGGATCCGAATACTTTCCAACAAAAAAGAGAGAAAAAAATGGAGCCCTCGTCAGTGAAGTGATCCGATCCTCATACACTGTAAGGTGCTTCATCGTTCTAAAAAGTGGATTTAGGTTTCTTTCATCGTCTTGTCTTTTCAATCCAAATTCTCGTCAGATCTCGTCAGTTGTCTTCGGATCCTGAATGAACCTGTCACCTAGTCTCCTCTGATAAAGATAGGTGATAAAATTCTCAGCTTTTGTTTGTTCCCCCCCCCCCCCTCCACTACTCACTGGAATGAAAATTCAATGATGTGCAGAAGACGCAATCAGTTAAATGCATATTTTACTAATGCACATGGTAATGCTTACGGTGTATAATGTACCTTTTGCATGACGGCCTTTTCAAAGAGAACACGAACGAAAGTTGCAGCACTAGATTGTATGTCGTGCCCCGTTTTCTACATCTCTGCGCTATCTGGCATAATGAGGTTCTAATGTGGCGGAAGCCAACCCGTACTCGGCGAGAATTACGCAATCGAGGCGATAAAAATCGATGAGCGATCTTCCGGAAAGGGCACGCCACAACTCGAGGGACGGAATCATCGCTCGACCGAACGCGGTTTCTTTCGGCATGTTTTAGCTTCGAAACCGTTCGATATTCTCGTAAAAAGTATTATGTGCTGGTAATTTCCGCGGCACCCTTTGAGACCCTCGAGGGGGAGCTGTCCCACGATTCCCCTTTTTGTCTCCAGGGAAGACGAAGGCTTCATCAAGGAAGATGAGAAGCCCCTGCCTCGGAACCCTTACCAGAGGAAGATGTGGCTGCTGTTCGAGTATCCCGAGAGCAGCCAGAACGCGAGGTTCGTCGCGATCATCTCCGTCGTGGTCATCCTCCTCTCCATCGTCATCTTCTGCCTCGAGACGCTGCCGCAGTTCAAGCACTACAAAGTGTACGAGCACGACAAAGTGTACAACATGACGTACAACAAGACGAGGATCGAGGAGGACGAGGTGCCGGAGATGACGGACCCGTTCTTCCTCATCGAGACCATCTGCATCGTCTGGTTCTCGTTCGAACTCCTCGTCCGCTTCCTCGCCTGTCCCGACAAGTTCAAGTTCTTCAAGGACGTGATGAACGTGATCGATCTGATCGCCATCATTCCATATTTCATCACCCTGGCCACCGTGGTGACGGAGGCGGAGGCGGACCCGAACGAGATCCGTCCCCCGTCGACGGGGCACGACCGGGGCGGGAACCAGGCCATGTCCCTCGCCATCCTCAGGGTCATTCGACTTGTGCGTGTGTTCAGGATATTTAAGTTGTCCCGGCATTCCAAGGGGCTTCAGATCTTGGGTCGCACGCTCAAGGCTTCCATGCGCGAGCTCGGTCTCCTCATCTTCTTCCTTTTCATCGGTGAGTCTCTCGCGTGTTTCGGGTGGGACGGGACGATGGGAAGGCGGGTGCGAAGGCGGGTGCGAAGGCGGCTGCGAAGGCGGACGCGAAGGCGAGGGCGAGCGTTCGGACGTTTTTCACTCCCGTTTTTTCACGAGCAGGAAAAAAAAAAGGTAGTCATTCCGGGGATCTGCGATTTTCGTTGGATGTAATCGATTATCGAAGTTCAAATTTTTTTCCTTTTTTTTTTTTACAGCAATTTAAATGGGGAATCTCGCATGCATTCCAATTTGTGTAAATGCCGGCATTCTTCGAGCGCGTCAGTGGGTACCTTCGACGTTCCATCGTTCACCGAAACGACGTTCCGGCAAACAACGTCACTTCGTAAAGATGAGCGGTGCTTAGAAAGGGTAAAGCTTGTCTGCTTGCTCGCTAAAAATAATCTTCGAAGTTCTCAGAAGCAAATATGACTAATGACTCCCTTGAGGTCAGACACGAAAGCCTTCGACGCCCTCGAATCGACGGTGCATTCCGTGCTCGTCGCTTCGAGTCGATCCGACGGTCGAACGTCGGGACTTTGTTCGACCCCCCTCGCCACCCGCGACCCCCCCTCCCGCGACCTCCCCTCCCGCGGCCTCCCCCCCCCCCCTCCCGTCTGATCGAAATCGCAGCGTCTCGGGCGATCGGGGCTCGTTTGTGGCACGTGGGGTCGGACAAAGGCCGAGGTGGTTTTCCACCTTCATCCACTTTCATCCACCTTCATCCACCTTCATTCATCCGAGTCCGATTCGCCATTTCCTTCAAAATAGCAAAATTCCGTGGCTGGGAATTCCGATTTAGCCCAAGACGATCTGGAGCCATCGCACGGTAAAGTTCCATTTGAAAAAGGAATAATAATAATTAATAATGCCAACAAAAAAAGAAGAGTTCGTGCTTTAATTTGTGACGGACTTTGAATGCAGAGTTGACTTGTAATCGCAGATTGGCGGGAGTGCATGACGTGGATTCTCTTGTTGCCTACAGGGGTTATCCTTTTCTCAAGTGCCGTCTACTTCGCAGAGGCAGGCACAGATAAATCCTTTTTCAAATCCATCCCCGACGCCTTTTGGTGGGCCGTAGTCACCATGACTACCGTGGGATATGGCGATATGAGGTAATGATCCACTACCATAGGATATGCACTACGGTATTAAGTTCCTCCGTGCCTTTTTCCTTTCCTCATCCCTCACGCTCCCAGCACTCCTCTCACTCCTCTCACTCCTCACGTCCGTGGCACGTGCTTTTTTTTGGCCGAAAAAAAAAAACACGTGTCATCGGGACCTCTCGTTCGGGCTCGACGAGGGGTCCCGCGTGCGTGCCGTGCCGTGCCGTGTTTGTGTGTGAGCACCGGTTTCTCTCCTTCCAACAGGGGTTGTGTTATTCTCGAGTGCGGTCTATTTCGCGGAAGCCGACACGGAGAAAAGCTACTTCAAATCTATTCCTGATGCATTTTGGTGGGCGGTCGTCACTATGACCACCGTCGGATACGGTGACATGATGTATGATGTACCTAATTTCCCTTCACTTCCATTCTTTCTCCCCTCATCTTACTCTCGTTCCGTCGTTCCCTTGATATACAAATTCGCATTTTTTCCGTTTCTTGTCTTTTCAATCTGACCCCTTCTTTGACCTGCTTGGCCAGACGTTGATGATCCTG